GTCGCATCTTCCCCTCCAGCAATGTCCTCCCAAGCCTCTCCCCATGCGCGTACCTGCGCTCGCCTCTGGCTCGTGGCGACCGTCTGCAAAATGGCCGCCGCCGATTGGTGGCGGCGCTCAGCGGCGGCCCCGTGACCGCGCCCGGCTGGGAGGCTGGCGGCCGAGCGGGTCACGTGACCGGCGGCGGCAGCGGCGGCGGCAGCGTTCAGCAGCTCGGAGGCCGAGTGGAAGGGCTTGTCACGCGGGACCGCTTGCCGCCTCCGGCTGCGGGAGTGATGTCACAGCAGCCGGCGATGACGTCACAGGGTCGGGTTGTGACGCCAGAGAGACGCCGCCGGCCGAGCGGAGGCTGCCGGGAGATGGGACAGAGTCAGGCCATACCCGGAGTGCGACCTAGCGCCGGGCCGATAACCACAGGCAAGCACCGCCTCAGTTACCTGAACAGATTTACTGTTCATCACCCGCCCGAAGACGTATCCGTCAGTCCCCAATTCACCTGGGACTGCGCGTAACGTGACCTACACTGTTCTGCCGCACGCATTCGTTCTGCCTTCCACGCTACGGTTCACTGAATGATTCAATGAAATGTGATGACCGCATAACGAAAAAACCGCCTTCGGTCCACTCTTCAGTGAAAGGGGAGGGATCAATGTGCTAGAAAAGTCACACAGCAGCTGCGCACAGTAGTTCAGTGGGCCGGGCCAGCAGGTTCAGAGGCCAGGCCAGCAGTTCCGCGGCCAGGCATGGACGGCCGGGCCAACAGTTCGGCGGCCGATGCTGGGCCCCCGGCTGGCTGCCGTACCTGGTGAGCGAGATGCGCGGGGCTGGCCGGCACTTGAGCGAGCGGAGCGTGCCTCCGTCGCCGGGCGGCGGCTGCGGTGCGTCGGGCCCGCCCGGCGCCGCCTCCGGTCCGGCCGGCCTCCGCCGCCGCAGCCGCCCGCGTTCGGGTGAAACAGCCGGTAGTAGAGCAGCATGACGGCGGAGCCTGCGGCGAACGACGCCGCGTGACGGCATTGACTCCTGCGTTTGGTAGCTACACTGGTAAACGATCCTGCCCGCCCATTTAGCGCCGACGCGACTGACGCCGGGCTGGGCCGTGACAGACTCGAATGTGTCGCGCTCCGGTTCTCAGCACTCTACCACACAGCTTGCGGTGGAGTGCGGAGGCCATGTCGATGGCTGTAGTGCCACCCACATGGCCACTGGCGGACATCAGGCATCAGGATACTAATACGGACATCAGAGGCAGAAGAACAGAAGAGCCGCCACCAGACAACGGAGCCGACGTGGTGGCTGCAAGTCGGGGACCAGCACCAGGCATGGCCCTTCATCAAACATCGCCAACCGGACACGCCCCTTCCCCGCTGGCTGATGTGCGGGGCGGCCTCTCTACACAGGCTGCTCATGATTACATGGCATGACTGCACAGCCGTGGTCATTTTGACGGCCGCGAGGCTCGCTCCCGCGCTCCATAACTGGCCGTGCGACCCGCTCCCGCGCCCCACAACTGACCGCGAGGCCCGCTCCCGCGCCCCATAGCTGGCCACGAGGCCCGCTCCCGCGCCCCATAGCTGGCCGCACGGTCCCGCTCCCGCGCCCCATAGCTGGCCACGAGGCCCGCTCCCGCGCCCCATAGCTGGCCGCACGGTCCGCTCCCGTGCCCCATAGCTGGCCACGAGGCTCGCTCCCCGCGCCCCATAACTGGCCACGAGGTCCGCTCCCGCGCCCGACGGCGAGCCGCTGGTGAGCGCGCCGCGGCCTCGTCGGCTTGTGAAAGGACGGCCGTCTCTGTCCAGCGCCACGGCCGCGCCAGTCAGGGCAAGGCGGTGCCATCAGTCCACACCGCGCCAGTTAACAGTGGGCACGTCACCGCATCCACCACGGCGACCGGCTGGCCGCCCGGGCAGCAGCGACCGTGGCGTGAGGGCTGGGACAACACAGACCGAACCTGCACAGCAACCTCGCACGGACTGCAGCCCACACGCAGCCGGCCCACGGACGTACCCAGGACGGTTGCCGGCGGGGATGTTCACCAGCAGCGCCAAGTACAGCCAGTCGCCGGGGCGCGGCCAGTAGAAGAAGAAGAGCATCGCCAGGACGCCGTTCTCGGCGAACGTCAGCGCGTAGAAGGCAAGCATGCGCCAGCGGGCCGGCGTCTCCTGGCGGCGGGCGGCGGAAACCATCAGACGCTCCGGCAGAGCGCACTCGGAGCGGGTGTCGGCTCGACGGGCGTGCTGCGACGGAACGCACTGCCGCGCCGCCGTGTGGTGAGGACGCCTAGCGCGGCTCGTCACGCAGCTGACTGACGTCATCAGCAGCGGGCACACGGCTGATGCAGGTACAGATCCACCGCAAGGGAGTGCATCATCCACGGGGAGTGCGCATGAAACACAGCGAAACAGATCAGCTTGGAGCACATCAACGCAGCACTCACATACGCGCCGTCCACTATGAGCCACCGACAGTGAATGAGAAAGGGGCCTGCTCCCCGGAGATCGCCCAAAAATAATAATCTGATACTACGTAGGACGAACTTAAATTAGCTGTACATTCACTTGTGTATGTCATGCTAAGCGACCTAAGGACTACAAAGTTCTCAAGCTTTTTGGTCTCCAAATTCACTGTTACTAATTTCGGCAAAACAAACCGCAACATCGGGACAAAACACGACCAAATCAAGACGCGGCTAGATCAGTCACCACGTCCACGGCGTGTGAAGCGCTTCCATGGTTACCGAGCATGGCTACCGGCCCTGGTCTGTTCGCCAGCGGTCCGCAGTGTGGGAGCGTCGTGCCGGACCCAATCCGAGCGACGCCACCGGCAGACTCGACTCCGGGCCACCGGCCGTCCACCGCCAACCCTGGCTTCGGCTCACCCGCTGGGAAACGGAGTGGCATGCGGCTCGTTCTGGTGAGCAGGAAGCACGTGCCAAGCGTTAGCCGGTGCCACGGGGCGCGAGGCCGCAGTCTGCCCATGCTTAGGGTTGGCTCACATGATGAGAAGACGCAGGCCAATCACCAGACCGCAGACACGACCGCCGGACACCGGCCATCGAGGCAGCCAGCGGCGAGCATCGCTGCTGCACTCACTCCCCTATCGAGGTGCCACGTTCGGGGCGGGGCATGCGCATGTGACGTGGCTGCCGCGCAGGCACGGCTCTCCGAAACACTAGCCTAAAGAGGAGGGTCGTTTTTTACGTGCAACATTCTGCAGTGACCAGGTGTCGGTGCGCATGCAAAACGGGTTATATCAACGTTAGAAAAGTTGACAGCCGACAAGACCGCATCGACACAACTGCATGCATTCATCATGTCGACGTCCGATCATGCCACCCCATCCCCTGCCATTCCCACCCACCCCATCAGCACCCCACGGAGCGCAGACCCACCACCTCTCCGCACAGCACCCATCCGCCCACCTTGACGTTGAAGAAGGAGAAGCAGTAGATGGCGCCGACGACGGTGTTGAAGAGTCGCTCCTCGGCGGGCGTGGGGAAGAGGTCGGTGCGCTGGGCCAGCACCCAGCCAGTCATCAGCAGCCAGCGGACGGCCAGCAGCAGCAGCACCCAGCCGGAGTACAGCAGCGAGAACGCCAGCAGAGCGGACGTGCGCGCCAGCAGGAGACACAGGCGCCAGAGCAGCTGCCGGAGGCGCGGCGGGACGGCGGCGTGAGGCAGACGACGCCGCTGAGCCGGCGGGAGGCGGGAGCGGGCGCTCAGCAGCCACCTCGGCCGCCACACCGAGTGCCGGCAACACGGCCGGCGAGCCGTTGTGACGGGCACGCCCAACCACGACATAACAGAGATGACAACGGTTCAGCTGCTGGCCGGGCGTCTAACACGCGCTTGGTCGACAGCGCCAATCAGTCCATCACTGCACAGAAGCAAATCCCGCTCGTGATATGGTCTGACACGCAGCACGCCACTGGGGCACCGAATCAAGGCGACCGCCGCTCAACCCAGGGCGGCTGAGGGGCCCACGTACCTGCAAGGTGGCAGACGGGCCTCATACTGAGCGGGCCCACGTACCTGCAGGGCGGCAGGCGGCCTCATACTGAGCGGCCCACAAACCTGCAGGGTGGCAGACGGCATCATACTGAGCGGCCCACAAACCTGCAGGGTGGCAGGCGGCCTCATACTGAGCGGCCCACATACCTGCAGGGTGGCAGACGGCATCATGCTTGGTGGCCCACAAACCTGCAGGGTGGCAGGCGGCCTCATACTGAGCGGCCCACGTACCTGCAGGGTGGCAGACGGCCTCATACTGAGCGGCCCACGTACCTGCAGGGTGGCAGACGGCCTCATACTGAGCGGCCAACGTACCTGCAGGGTGGCAGGCGGCCTCATACTGAGCGGCCCACGTACCTGCAGGGTGGCAGACGGCCTCATACTGAGCGGCCAACGTACCTGCAGGGTGGCAGGCGGCCTCATACTGAGCGGCCCACGTACCTGCAGGGTGGCAGACGGCATCATTACTGAGCGGCCAACGTACCTTGCAGGGTGGCAGACGCCCTCATACTGAGCGGCCCACGTACCTGCAGGGTGGCAGACGGCCTCATACTGAGCGGCCCACGTACCTGCAGGGTGGCAGGCGGCATCATATTGAGCGGCCCACGTACCTGCAGGGTGGCAGACGGCCTCATATTGAGCGGCCCACGTACCTGCAGGGTGGCAGACGGCCTCATACTGAGCGGCCCACGTACCTGCAGGGTGGCAGACGGCATCATGCTTGGCGGCCCACAAACCTGCAGGGTGGCAGGCGGCCTCATACTGAGCGGCCCACGTACCTGCAGGGTGGCAGACGGCATCATGCTTGGCGGCCCACGTACCTGCAGGGTGGCAGACGGCATCATGCTTGGCGACCCACGTACCTACAGGGTGGCAGACGGCATCATACTGAGCGGCCCACGTACCTGCAGGGTGCCAGACGGCATCATACTGAGCGGCCCACGTATCTACAGGGTGGCAGACGGCATCATATTGAGCGGCCCACGTACCTGCAGGGTGGCAGACGGCATCATACTGAGCGGCCCACGTATCTACAGGGTGGCAGACGGCATCATGCTTGGCGGCCAACGTACCTGCAGGGTGGCAGACGGCCTCATATTGAGCGGCCCACGTACCTGTAGGGTGGCAGACGGCATCATGCTTGTCGGCCCACGTACCTACAGGGTGGGAGACGGCATCATACTGAGCGGCCCACGTATCTACAGGGTGGCAGACGGCATCATGCTTGGCGGCCAACGTACCTGCAGGGTGGCAGACGGCCTCATATTGAGCGGCCCACGTACCTGCAGGGTGGCAGACGGCATCATGCTGGGCGGCCAACGTACCTGCAGGGCGGCAGACGGCCTCATATTGAGCTGCCCACGTACCTGCAGGGTGGCAGACGGCATCATGCTTGGCGGCCCACATACCTGCAGGGTGGCAGACGGCATCATGCTTGGCGACCCACGTACCTACAGGGTGGCAGACGGCATCATACTGAGCGGCCCACGTACCTGCAGGGTGGCAGGCGGCCTCACGCTGAGCGGCCCACGTACCTGCAGGGTGGCAGACGGCATCATACTGAGCGGCCCACGTACCTGCAGGGTGGCAGGCGGCCTCATGCTGAGCGGCCCACGTACCTGCAGGGTGGCAGCCGTCCAGCCCAGCGGCCGCTTGTCGCCCCGGGACTTGCGCATCCACTTGGCGTACGAGGCGTTGCTCCAGGCCAGCGAGAGGAGCGAGAGCGCCGCGCTGACAGCTGAAACGCGGCACCGGCGCCGTTGGTGGACGCGGAGACACGCACACCCGCGGGTCACGTACCGTGTGCGTGTCTGCGGCTGCCTGGCAGGCGTGCCTGTGTCATACTATCTCTGACAGTGCAGCTCGGGTGAGTTACAGGGAGAGCCTGTTTACGGTGTCGAGTCTTGTTGCGGATAACAGCACAGATGTCACCGGCGCAAACCGTGTATTCCGTACACATTTCACTGGCTTAGCATAAAAGACGGCGGGGATTGGCTGAAATCACACCATAGCCAGGCAGTTACGGGAATCGATAAACAGTCTGGCATTCTGTCGCATGCCATTTAGAGGTGCCTGCAGCTCCCGCTCGAGACGCAAATCAAGGTCGTAACAATCAAAGTCGACGTCCTCCTTACTTTAGCATACGTCTCAGCTTTCCATTGTATTTGAACGCGCGGAAATCTGTATCCAAGCAATCAATACGTGCGTGTATCTAACTGGGACGAGAAAGATCAGCAGCTAGATTGGACCAGTCGTTGTCACAGAGACGATGCTATCGCAGGAAAGCGCCGCACGCCGCACCCCAGTCAGGAAAACAGAGCACCGGCGGGAAATAGGACACACACGGTGTGATGCATTTCCTGCTGCGGTTAGCCACTCCACACTTCTGAGGTCCCCGCTGACCCAGCCCGAGGCCGCCAATCCCGGATGAAGTAACGAGGAGGCTGGGCCCTGACCAACTGAACCAGCGCCAGCCGTCCCTGAATTTGGACGAGGTGCGACCGAGCAGTGTCCCTGGCTTGCGAAACTGCTTACATCACTAACTGCCTGACTATGAGATACCCGTCCCTAGAAAGGGCGACGGTTGACCAGGGTCCTTCTTTGACAGTGCACCAGCCGCCTCCGTTCCTGGACGAGGGGCGACGGCTGAGCGAGGTCCCTGTTTGACAGGACACCAGCCGCCTCTGTCCCTGGACGAGGGGTGACGACTGAGTGAGGTCCCTGTTTGATAATGCACCAGCCGCCCCGTAGCTGGACGAGGGACGACGGCTGAGCAGGGCCCCTGTTTGACACTGCACCAGCCGCTTTCGTCCCTGAACGAGGGGCCACGGCTGAGTGAGGCCCCTGTTCCACAATGCACAGTCCGCCTTCGTCCCTGGACGATGGACGACGGAGTGGTATCCCCGACTGACCCTGCACCAGCTGCCAGCCGTCCCTGGACGAGGTGACGTAGACCTGCAGTAGCAGCTGCGGCGCCGACTCCAGGTAGCTGAGGAACAGCTGCAGCATGCTGACGTCACTGCTCTGCTGCAGGTACACCTGCCGCACGTAATGACGTCACATCAGCTGATGCCGAACGCGAGCGTGGGACAACTGAAAAGCATGACAATAAACGAGAGCAGGCAATGAGTTTACATGGTGCAAATGCTGCTGTGTGCATGCAATGTTTGAATAATACTTAAAACACATACTCAACTTTGAAGGGTTGTTGCAAATGCATATATACTGTGAAAATTTATGCCAAGTTACATGCCACAAACTCTGAGTTCATGAGCACAGCGCATACAGCGAGTTACATACATGACACCCTGTAATGAGAGCCTCTGCACATGTCCTGACCACGGCTCAGCGTCAGGTCGGGAGCGGACCGTTACCGAGCGGCCCACCTGCACCAGGGGGTCCACACCTCCTCACCATTGAATCGTCGTAGGACTTTGTACGGCGCATACGCCGACCATCGGAAAACTGACTCACAAGCCTGAAGACGGTGAAGGTTAGTTAGAGGATACATCACATGCGACGTAAGCACGCACCAGTGCAAGGCAGTCGCAACAGGTGGCGAAACTGCTGGTTAGCAATTCAAAATAATGGACATGTCCCAGTATGAAATTATAGTCACACAAAATAAAAATGGAGATACTTTTGGGAATGAATGTTTCATTCATTTAGTTCTGCCCTGTGAGATTACAACCCCAGGATTAGCAAACTACAGCCTAATCAGCTGCATTCGTAGCCATCGCGGGAGGTTACTGAAGACTTCTGGGCCCAGTGAGCATCCAGACTTTTCTCCAGAATAAGGCAACACAATGGCCTCAGATCTCACAACAGCTGACCACGACAATGAGGAGAACCACTCATCCGGGACACAGACCTAAGAAAGAGGCCCAGCTGGCAGCAGTGCACGACCAGCAGGCTGGTGGTGGCCTCCTGGTCGTGCACGTGCCAGCGGTACGAGATGACGTGCACCAGCGCCTGGGGCACCACCACGATCAGCACAGTCAGCAGGCCCCAGGTCAGGTCGCCCGAGCTCAGGTACGTGTGGATCAGCACCACGTCTGCGGCGAAAGCGGGCACCAGTCAGCGGCCGCGCCGAGCAGCTGCGGCACAGCTGGCAAGGAGGGCAGTCGAGACATTGTCAGACCGAGCAGCTGCAGCACAGCTGGCAAGGAGGGCAGTTGGGACATTGTCAGACCGAGCAGCTGCGGCACAGCTGGCAAGGAGGGCAGTCGGGACATTGTCAGAATGAGCCATCAATGGTCATGGTGAAAGACAGGCGCAGCAAGCAGCAGTGAAACATTTCTGCAAGAAATAAGCCAAAATATATGCAGGTGGACGAGTCTGAAGAGTTGGTGCTTGCTGACAGAATGTACCTGAAAGCATGAAAATTCGAAGCGGAAATGAAGTAGAATGAACCTATGGAGCTGAATCACGAAGAAAATGAGCCTTTCACCTTTAGTACACAAATGCTCATCATAACTTTTTGGGATGGCAGGACCAAAATTTGAATCATATGCCAGATATTGTTTCTCAGAGAAATGGCTAGAGTTAATATCAATGGCATCAAACTTAAGAGGTGGAGTTTTTTTACTAGGGGTGGGGTTGGGCGAGTTGTGGTAGTAATGTTGCAACAAAATTTGTGACCTTTGTCACTATTTTGATGTGCAATTTTGTCTCACATAAGGAACAAGTTACCACTTTCATAAGATCAGAGCCATTTGAGAAAGAGGCAGAAAGCTGATGGCAAGCAACTGTTTCTGACCATATCTGAAGTCCATCACCCCAGTTGTTCTTCCCAACTTTACCTGATAAACTTTCCAGTCAATCTGTTTTTTTATGGCCAAATGGGAGTGAGGAGAAGCCAATTCATTGAGCCATATAATGATGCAGCCTGGATGCCCCAAGTGAGGCAAATATTTTGACCAGCTGTTAGCTGACCTGATGATGATGATGAGGGCAAGGAGTGTGGCATTTTAGATCTTGAAACCTGTAATGCTAGTTGCCGCAGGGTATGTATCTGCCCCAAATCATGAACAGAACAAAATACAGGGAAGACCTGCACCTGCATGCCGGATTGCATTGCATATGCATGACACTCTCAAGATATTCAGCATACCAGCCACACAGTAAAAATTCACTCCCATGTACCTTGTGAATCTGAGTGGTTTGTGTCATACCATAGCAACCAATGTCAGCATGTAGAGATTACATGTTTCAGGGCACACATAAATAATCCCCAGAAATTAAAGCGAAAGTGATTTCAAAATTCTGCACAATTTGGTCGGACTTGAGTTTGGCACACAAAAGCACAACACACTGCTTCACCACACCAGTGTCACATAGGCATCCAGTGTGGTGCATGGATGTTTCACAGACTGGTATGCATGTGCCTACATGCTGTTGTTTGTTGGATGTTATATCACACTACAAGCATAAATGGCATCAAGATGCCTAGGCTATCTTTGGGGATTCTTAAAACAAAAAACATCAGATACACTTACCAATTATCTTATTGAAAATGTATGCCCCTATTGAAAGAATAAGAAATGCTTGATCCCAGTTATTAAAGGTGACTTGTGGTCTTTTGTCTTCCTCCTCACGTTGCTTCTTTTTGTCCACAATTTCCATGTCATTAAATTCACTTCAATTTCATACACCGGTGCCTTTTCATCGCCACTTAATCCACAAACGCGCAACCGCGCTAAAGCTCTATTCTATGTCGCTGTAACTTTTGTTGTCAGAATCCACGCACAAAACCACCGCACTCACGACCCTTATCATAAAGGCGTCCACCTTATCCAGGACACAAGGCACAGAATTTTGCAGAAAACTGCAGCCCCGCAAAAAACGGTGACCACAATTCCTATGGTTCTTCGCGAATAGTTTGCAACCAAACGAAGTGCGTCACCAATGCCGAAATATTTGAGCTATGCGCCGTTTTCCCTGCTTCTTCTTTGTAAGGGCTACCCCAAGAGGAGCGTAGCGGTTTTGTTGGACGACTCAACGCCCTCACTGCACCAGCCTGGGGCCGGAGCAACGCCGTTGGCACGACTCGTGTCCAACTCCAGCTGAGTAAAGCAAGCACTGACTAACTCACGGCAGGCAGAGTTGAATCCTGCTCTGATTTTACTCCGAGTTTTAGAGACTCGTACTGCGAGCATACTCTACTCCCTCACCTGACCCCGGCCGTCCAGGAATACATAGTCTATGATTGCAGCCCAAGAAACTACACCAGCCGCCTCAAGAAAATTTGGCCAATTGCATGGCGTATTCAGAGGGATTTGATTCAAATCGTCCATTGGCATTGATGTAGAACAATGGCTACCAGTTGGATCCCTGCAGAAGTCTACGGTGACCACTCCGGCACTTCAGGGTGTACACCTTACCTTACCTTACCTTATGGTGATCGGGAATTATAAAAGGCCACTAGGCCTGTAGGTCCCGGTCTCGTCAGGCTCCTGGGCCGGCAACCAAACGGTCTCAAATTATGGGAAGATTCAGTGTGGGACGTCGTACATGATGTCAGCCCAGCGCGTATCAAGCCTAGACTTGAACTGTTCAACTGAGGTCGACGACACGACCGGGTGTGGAAGAGCGTTCCAGTCGTTGACAACCCGCGTGCTGAATGAGTTACGACGGACGAGAGTCCTAGCTCGAGGTTTTCTGAGATTCCACTGGTGTCCTCTCGTCACCACCGAGTTGTGCCTTGTCAGGAGCTCCTCTTCCGACAGCGACTTACCTCCGTGAAACAGCTGGTACACTGTTACCATGTCTCCCCTGCGACGAAGATAGTACAGCGAGGGCAACTGAAGGAGTCTGAACCTCTCAGGGTATGACTGGGGCCTCACCTCATAGCCAAGCCGGGTAGTTCTCGCTGAACCCGTTCCAGCCGCTTTTGGTCCAGTTTGCCGAACGGGCCCCAGACAACGTTGCCATACGTTGATCTTAGTACGGACGTACTAAGATCTTAAAAAGCAATGGCAACGTGCAAGCATCGATATTGGCAAAAGACCACCTCACGACCGTCAGCATCTGGTTGGCCTTGTAGATCGCTTCCGCCGTCTGCACGTGGAACTGGAGCCGGTAATCCACGAAGATCCCGAGGTCCTTCTCTGCGGACTCGACCGCGATTTCGGCGCCGTCCATGAAGTACGTCTGCCTCGGGTTGCAGTTCCTGATGTGCATGATTTTGCACTGTGCTGCACTAAAGGGGAGCAGCCACTCCCTTGACCACCTGGCCAGGGCGTCGAGGTCACCTTACAAGGGTGAGTTGGTCAGGGGCCTCGGGACACGACAGTAGACCTTGGTGTCATCCGCAAACATCTTGACCACGCTTCGCGCTTGTTCTGACAGATCGTTCACGAAAATTATGAACAGCGTTGGTCCAAGTACTGACCCTTGCGGGATGCCGCTGACGAAGTTGGTCCGGTCCGACTTCGAGCCCTGGACCTGCACTCTCTGCATCTGGTGAGTAAGAAAAGCCCTGATCCAGCGTAGCAAGTTACCTCTCACACCGTAAGCATGAAGCTTGGAGAGCAGACGGTTATGGGGTATAACACGCACCGTTGATGTCGCGTTGTCGCGGCCATAGATGTAAATTGTAATTGAGTTGTCTCTACCCCGACTCTGTAGTGGAAGTTGATTCAGCTGTAGTTCGAAAACGTTTCCAACGGAGTCAACCCCACCTTGACACAAGCAAATTTCGCCTGACCCCGGGTCAGCCGTGAACCAGAGGTGGACACGGGTTTGGTTGGTACCTAACATGTCAAAGGTGATCTCTCGTAATAAAAAACAGGGGCCCTTCCAAAACGACACGCGGCAAGTGCATCAGGTACGCGAGTGAACAGGCGGCTGCTGCAGACGTTGAACCTGTGCCGTCCAATCTTCTTCATCAACGCTGGGTGTGTTGGGCCTCAAATAAACCGGGAGACAAAACCAAACAGTCCGTACATTTGGCCAGCCGTGAACGCATTAGGACACGCCCTCTTAAGGACGACGCCGGAATGAGGCGCTAAAGAGGGCAGTCCAACGTTCTAAGAACGCGGAACAGGAAACGACCGATTAATTTACAGGACAATTCACTAGCACAGAAGGGGTGCTGGCGTGCCGGAGGGAAAAGGAGACAAGGCTCCAGGGCAATTGTCCGTTGCCCCCTCCCCCCACCCCTAACGCGTCCGCCTACTTAGGCCGTCAGCGTCAAAACGCCTGGCGAACACACGCGGCGCGGTCAGACATAGCAAGATAACCATATCATGTAACCATTTATTTGTCAGTCACGATGCTCAGTCTTCATTTCAACAGACTATTGCCATCAGGGACTGGAGACGTCACAGGAACCACCGATTATATTTCCGTGGCGCCATCCGTGGATGACATCACGAGGTAGAGCTTCCGACTCATTTCCTTGCCGACACGACGGGAGCTGACGAGGGGGCCGACCGTCCTCCGAATGGGCAGGTCAGCGACCAGGGCCTGGCGCTCTTGTTCAGACAGGCACGCTGCATAGGCCTGAAGCAGCATGACAAGCATCAAGATGCAGCTTCCTAACACCTTACCTGGCTTGCAGACCTCTGACAAGTTCGGTTTGCAAGCTTTCCAATTACATTTGACTCATTTGAGGAAAACGGTGGGTAGGCTTGAACTTTCATGTGCCTTCTATGTAATGCTCCAATTCGGCCTGACCTTAATGAACTGGTGCTGCATACTTGCGTCTGTCTTAAGTGCAGCCAAGTAACAAGAAATAGTGCATGACTCCAGATGGGACTACTGCATCACTGAGGCGACTATTGGCCTTCAGACTGCTTTACCACGCGACAACACATCAGTGGCAGAGTATTCGAGCGCGCATCAATGCACAGCCATGTGCCGCAGTAAGGTCACGGCAACGTAGCCATCCGCGAGCGTCTGATGCCCTGCTGGCCAGCGGCGGCCGTCCTCGGCCAGCTGTACCTTGATCAGCGCCTGCGGGCTGGGGTAGACGTCAGCCACGGCCTGGGCGGCCTCGAGCGAGCCGCCGGGCAGCTGGCGCAGCTGCTCCGCCCAGAGCCGGCGCAGGCCGCGCTGCTCGCGGTCCACCTTTACCGGGCGCGCCGAGTCGGCCTCGGCGAACCACGAGAACTGCGGCTCGGCGCGGCGCCGTCTGCCGGCGCAGATCAGGCGGCACGCGTCATCATCGGACGCCCCCCCCCCCCCCTCACTGAGCGACGCTGGCCGACGCCGCGGACGAGGCCCAGCCGCGTAAGAACACACCAAGCTGGTACAAGTCATCCCGAGGGTCGTCTTCGACAACAAAAAAGCTTAGTTGGGAACTGTGAAATTTCATTTTTCTTATTTTCATTACAGTTTTAGCGACACACAACCACATACGCCTCGAATATTTAACGATATGAATGACGTATGAACCACTTGCACAAAACTGAAATGTAAGACGATTCAGTTTTAAAATACAGCACATTGCTCCATATTTGCCTGCTGACGTCAGTTCGTCTCTTACTTGAATGGTGCCTCCGCGATGGCTTTGGACATTTGAGCCAGAAACTCTCCGCCGTCTGTTGGTGAATTGACGAATCTGAAGTTGTGCGGGGTGTCCAACAGGGTGTCAACGAGAACGGCTTCCATTTGTAGCCGCTCCAAATTGGGAGCTCCTTTTCTGCGGTTCCCTCCACCATTTCGCACCGCCTCGCCCTTCTTGAAGCTACCCGCCATTGGCTTTGTCCTGAAAACAACACTGTTTTGGTACGGGCTCGGAGTAGATATCCATTGTATTTGCCGGAGTTGGCAACATCTCAGGCTACCCAAGAACCTGGATAAGCTGGGACTGTAATCCCAAAAGCCATCCCTGCAAAATACCACAACCAATTATACCTAGCAACACACACGTCAGGTGATCAGCAACCGCCTGCGGAGTTTGTCCAGACCCCAGCACAGCACCGTCACCACACGTCAGGTGATCAGCACTCGCCTGCGGAGTTTGTCCAGACCCCAGCGCAGCACCGTCACCACACGTCAGGTGATCAGCACTCGCCTGCGGAGTTTGTCCAGACCCCAGCACAGCGCCGTCACCGTCTTGCCCGAGCTCGAACCCAGACCTCGCACGGCGGCCGTGAGACCGCGCGACGGGTCCGCCGTCTGCTCTTCGATCAGAGAAGCCATGGCTTCGGCGGCGTACACGGCGACGATCTGGTCTTCCGGTTCGCGAGTCGTTCTGGAAATTATCTGAAACAGCGCAGCGACGCTGGTCACGAGTCTTGAGCACAAGCTTCGACATAACACTTTGGCGGATCTTACTTTACCGCGTGCGTTCAACGTACTTGCGTGACTGATTTCGTTTATTTTACCCTCAGTCAAACTAAGCCTACGTAATCATATCAAGACATACCGATAACGCAGCGTTAGTGGTGATAGAGTATTTCTGTTTGATCCTCAGCTTATGGCGTACAATATGGAATGCAAAAAGGAATTATTGAGTTGAAAGGACTTAAGTGAGTTACGTGCAAATTACAACATGGCCAAAAAGCCAACTCAAATGGCCCAAGCCAAAGCCGCCCTCTTCGGCCGACATCAAAGCCACAGCTGCAGTCTGACCTCGCCGTCGACCTCGCGCCAGCTGGTGACGTCACGCTCCCAGGTGATTGTGCCGGGCTGCGGCCGGGCGGTCACGTGGACCACAACATCAGTGGTCTGCAGGGCGGCTAACACCTGGCCGCCACCCTCCAGCTCGAGCAGGTGCGGGTCCACCAGCACGTGCAGCGACTGAGAAAACGCTCGGGTGAGGTGCGTGCTACACCTGAGATGCATCAGAATACGGTCTTTAGACGCTCAGAGGGTGGCGGAGGCACACAACCGAATTGCATCCCTTGGTGACGTTAACAGTGGAATCATTTACAATTTCAATTTGGCTTTGCTTAAATCCAATAAGATCCTTTCCGGCTGCCACGTGGGCTGAACCACCTCGCCGGCGCAATGTCTCCGTGCTTATGCCTCAAATCTGGCGCGCATCTTCAACAGCTGCCCCACGCTCACCTTCTGACAGTGTTCGGGCCGAACGCTGCGCTTCGCGGCCGCCTCCGCCTGTCGAAGCCGTTTCTCCAGCTCCTTTTGGCGCTTGGCCTCCTGCCGCTGTAGCTGGCGCTGGCGCTTGGCCTCAGCAGCGGGCTGGGGGTCCCGGCCAGCGGCGGCCGGGGCGGGCCGCGATCGCCTCGGCGGCGGCGGTGCCGACGGTGGCGGAGAATGCAGGGGGTGTGTCGGCGCAGGCTGGGAGGGTGCTGAAGAGTGCTGGGAGTGTGGCAGGTGGTGTGGCGGATAGTCCTGTGGATGGAGTGGAGAAAGTTTGTGCTGTTGCAGTGAGTGTTGGGAGTGTGGCCGAGTATGTTGCAGGAGTGGCGGGGAGAGGTGGGAGTGTAATGGCGAGTCATCCAGCTGCGCAGGTGATGTCTGGTGAGAGCTGAATGCACTCTGGTGTGCCTCCTTGCTTCTGAAGGATGATGGCTGTGGGGATAGTGCCAGGATATTTACTGATGATTCACACAGACAGCTCAGGATTACTGGTGAATCCAGTTACTTTTAGAAGGCGATTTGTTGGCCTGATGTATATCATGCACTATTCAACACCTGACTTACAATACTGAACAATTTGTTAAGCAAATGCAGCATGACTAAAACATCACCACATGCAAACCAATTGCCTGCTAGAAAAATTATGTTTGCATGTGAGGTTAAATTTGGCATCAATAGTATGAATTCCATAAAGGCAGGACAAAACAGCATGCAAGAAAATTGAGCTCCAGAATGCTATTATGGTGTGCTTCAAAAACAGTGATTGGGAATGTAGGAAAGCCAAAAATGTATGTGTATTGCAAAACAAGAAGTTGCATCAAAATCCTAAGCATCCAGTGATCCTGTAGCATACTGACCTGTCTGTGACTAGCCTCACTCTCATCCTCTGAAGAAGATTCTACGCTGATTGGGTCTGCACAACTGCTACCAGTAGAACCTTTTGATGCTTGCAATCGAGCATACAGTGGAACATACTGCCTGTTGAAGAACATGTGCTCTATGTGGATTAAAATCTTAATGGAGCTGGACATGAAGTAATGTGCTAAACATTGCTGATGCACCAAAGGAAAATACATAATTATCCAAACAATGCATGAATTTTTTACATCTTGGAGCTTTGCATTGCTGCCGTGCAGGGTGCTATGGTGAGGATTGAGGCATCTGGGTCACCAGACAGTAATTTCTCTAGAACAACTTGCATGTAGGTATGGCACTCTCCTGACCCATTTACTTTTGCTAAAGATCACTTTAAAATGCAATTACTCAATGTGTAGGCCAGGGCAAAGGAAATTTATTTCTTTGCACACACATTTTGTTAAAACAGCACTGTGTTCACCAGTAACATCTTAATGAAAAATTGAGCTTTTGGTACGTCGTCACTCAAGTGCTTACCCATCTGAGTCATCAGAGTCTGACATCGCGTGAGCTTTGAATTCCATTTACACGGCTAACTTTTATACTTCAAGTCACAAACACGACTTAACGCGTTCGTTTTTCTTGCTTTACACCAACAAGTACTGTAAATGTACCCAACGCACTGAACCGCATTCCTCGTCCTGCGCTCGCCTTCGATTTCCCCGCCAAAGATGTTTTTATAGGCCGAGTACGAAACAGTTGCGTCGTGAACAGTTGTAAGTGGCTCTACCATATCTGATATTTTTAGGACAAAGGGTTTCAGATGAGTATTTAAAGTACACCCTCAGATATCCATAACAAAAACACATTTTTGAGACACAATTTTGTCCTTTATTTTATGGTTATTCAAGTCCTCTTTAATTTTACTTTTGATTTTTTGATAGTTAAATTATGCTTTCTGTCTGATCGGCGTCTGCATACCAAAAATTATGGCTGTTGCTTCGAGTTTGGAAACACCGCAGGTCACACAAACCATCATGGCAGCGCCCGTGCGAGTTGTCGCTCTGGGACAGAAGTTGGTTAGGTTTCACAATGCAAGGACAGCATTCAATGTCATTCACCGGTAAGACAAGGGGAAGATGTTTGCTTGAATTTAAGGTAAATAAATGCCACCATTATCCTTGGTTGAACATAGTACGGCTATGTGGCATGTAGCGCGGGCACTTTGTCGATGTTTACGATTATGTAATGTCAATGCCGTAATGCGAATCTGCACGTCCATCCTTAAATCTGCAGGACGTGTGTATAGAGCTCATGTTAGGTCAACTGGTGCTGAATTCTCAAACGAATTCTGTTAGGGATGACAGGATATTTGTGTTCAAACTTTCTAACCAACATCATAGCTCCTTGAAACAGCAGCTCCATGTGGTGAAGTTTTTGGTGAACATGCGCTTAGCTCTCAAGTCTTACAATATATGGTGTGCATATACCAATGCTCCTGTTGCAATATTGCTGTGACACCAGATATGTTTAACATAACATGCATATGTCAGTCTGCCTTTAATGAATTTTACTTACTTGTAGTTAACTTACTTCCATGTCATCTGGCTAATAATGATCATGTCTAGCACATGCAATTTGTTGTCATTAAGATACAGCTATGCTGCAATTGAGCACTGCTACATTTCAAGTTGTTATGATATAGTGTCTCTCCATGTACTGACCTGATTGAATCAGTGGTTGGTTTATGTGTGATAACCCATTTTGAATCAGTGGTTCATTTATGTGTGATAACCTATTTAGAATTCATAATATCTCCAATAGGAAAATTGGCACTCTGAAGTTTTATTTTCACTTCAGCTTCTTCTGTTATCAGATAACATTTTATCTCCAAGTGTCTTTGTAGTCCTGTTGCAGAGTGATGGAAGTTAAAGTGATGATATTTGATGAAACTTTTCCCTCAGTTGTATGCAATCTATACAGGTTTAAATAATAGAAGACATGCCGGACAAAGCAGTAATTGTTAAAGGCTTATTTTAGAGCAGTGCATTATGCATGCTATCTATATAAGCAGTGCATTGATCAAGCTTAGCACAGGATTGCATCAGCAAACTTATTCAGAAGACCAGAAGCTACAAGCATAATTAAGAAGGTGTGGGAGTTAAGAAAGTTTTGATGGGTCCAACAAAATCTGGTAGAATAAGTGTAATGTATTCATGAGTGCTTAATTCAGGCAGGGCCTTCTCTGCAAATTTTCAACAGTTCTTCACCTGCCTTATACTTTTTGACCCACACCCACAGTCTTGGCCACCAGTTCCACAGCAAACAATCCTTTCTTGGGGAGTGCTTGGTGCTATCATGGGTCATCATATCTCATATCTAAGGGTGATAAACAGGCCAGTCACCCCATACCCATCAGTATACAAATATGTCTACATACTCAGCTCCAGAAAGTTGTTTTATAGTCCCAGCTGTTTTTTGTCAGATTACAAAGGATGAGGCTTAAATTATTATGGCAGCTTGAACAGAAAGATATTGAATAATAACAACATAACTTTCCCCTCAAATCACAGCTCACAACTAGAAGCTAATAGGAAACCTTCACTTATTTACAGGGTTATAGAATAAGGTCCTTGCAACCCTCTGGCTACACTGTTGTGTATACAGTTTGCTTTGCATCTCATATCTATTTTGAATGTAATGGTCCAGGTCAGCTGTAAGTTTTGGATATTCTTATGAGTTGTGACCACCTAGTCAATAAAAGCTCATGTGCACTTTTAGCATGAGTATCTGGTGGGATTATCTATCTGGTTTTGACAGTGTCAGGTATGTTCATGTTTGTTAATTGGATGATTGCAATGTGACTTATGTCATGCATTTTGGGTCATGCAATTGTCATGCGATTGGGTAACATTATTTCATCAGGGTGCATTAGAGGCATGACCCTGCCATTTGTGTTAATGGCTGGAGTGCATTAATAATTGGCTAAGTTGTACATGCATGTGCATGCACAGGTTTTTACTGCAATGGTGAGGTTTTGAATTAAATAGTTCTATTTTCAATTTTTCATACCTCATGATCTACAAGTGACAATAACTGAATTATGCACTCACTTACCTGCACCACCAAATTAAGAGAGCCAGGCTACCCATGGTTAGATGGCTAGCATTTCAGTATGGTTGCGAAAAGCTCGTGGATATCATGGCACCACAATTTTCCAATTATTTTTGCCACACCACTGAACCACTTCCATGGAATTATTTCCTCACCTGCCCATGCAGCCTAGCGGGCCAGCAGCAGCCATGCTGAGCATGCGAGCCATTGCAGGCGGTGGGCGGGCGACGGGGCTCGGCGTGCGCCGCGGCCCTCCGAGCCGGCCGAGGATGCGCCGCTGCCTTTCTCCAGCAGTGGCGCCGCGACCTGGCGCGCGCGCGACACGTTCGGCGGCGGTGCCGAGGAGGACGACACGCCCTGGTACCAGATGCCGTCCGTGCTCATCTCGGTGACGGCTCTGCTCGTCTACTTCTGCGTGCTGCGCGAGGAGAACGACATCGACGAGAGGCTGGGGCGCGACGCGCTCCGCGACGTGCCCGGTCTCGAGCGGCAGACGCTCGAGGCGTACGTGCGCCACGAGGAGGCGGCCGGCCGCACCGCTGACGCCGAGCGCCGCCGACTGGAGGAGCTGCTGGTGCTGGAGTCAGCCGAGCGGGAGCGGAAGCAGAAGCGCGCGCCCCCGGGGCCGGCGTAGTGCGCGGCGACTAGTGCTGGACAACAGAAGTCAGTGGTGCTATGCAGGGATGGATATGCCGCGACGCGGCCCGGTAATCCAGGGCATTGGTTTCGTCTCTGATGCGCTTGTGAAGGGCGGGCTGAGGAGGAGAAAACTGTGAAATAAGTCTTCTGCGCTTGTTTGGTTTTCACCCAAGATTGGAGTGTGAATGGACGTAGTAATTTATACCGTGCAATCTTTCGTTGGCGTAAGATTGTCAGCAATTGATATGTTGAAATGTGCAAATATACCGTGTTCTCACAGCGGTGGTTTACTTCGTCTCGACCGTCACGTTGGCATCAGCTGACCGCGGACATTAAGGAGAGGGTGGTCAACAGTCCCAATGCGCGTTCCCGACGAAAAGGGAATGCAACAAATGCAACAGGTTTGGCGGCGGGCGGCTGACGCTTGCGCCCCCTTTCAGGGAGAGTTCCTCCCTGCACGCCGTCTGGGGAACGACTAGCTGCCAGCCGCCCGTCGCTGGCCAATCAGAGCTCCGCTCGATCCAGCCTCGCCTTCCGTCGGCGAGATACGCCAGTCAGAAAGCTGGCGCAGGCGGACGGGAGAAACGCGAGCCCAGACACCCGTGGGATTTTAAACTTAGTCCGCTGTCAGCCCAGCTGCTCACGTCGATTTCGCTGTTGAGCTTCATGATCTACTTCTTCCTGTTACGTGAAGAGTCAGACGTGGACACTGCCATCTACCGACCGATCTGGGAACGTGTGCCAGACATTACTCCAGGTAGGCGATTGTATTTTTTTTTTTGTGCGTGCCTCAAAAGTTTTGAAATTGCGGCGATATTGTACGAGCTTGTTTCATGCAGGACTTTTGTATGGTGGCTTGTACCGCACAACTGCGTGCTGCATGCACAACTGATGCTGAAATCTCGAGCGTGGTCAAATCAACAGGACACAGCAGCATTGGTTGTAAATTTAGCCTTTGTCAAACTGCCACATGACGTTGCCGCCTAAACGCCTCGCTACGCGGTCTGGTTGTAGAAGAAGGTTTCTGGTAGAAGTAATTGACTTTAAAGGACGCTTGAGCTGAATCTGAGCAGATAGAGTTAAATGCAGATGTTTTATGTGATCAGTTTGGAGTCATTGCGCCGAATATAATTGACCTTCATTTTACCAGGAGGTTCCGGTGTAAACGTTATCAAGCAACCATTGGCCATGTTGCTGACTCGAGCGAACAATGTTAAGCAAACAAATATCATTCAAACGCTAAGGCAGATGCTCCGAATCTGTGCCGGCACTACCATTAAAAGTATATCAAAGTAGTTAATGATGCGAGTCCGATCATCCTAATAACCAATACGCGGTACTTTGCAAAGGGCACCCGACACGCACGCAGCTAAACCGGAAGGTTTTGATGCCCGCTTCGAGCATCGGGGGTGAAAGAGACTTCTTAACGGGCTCCGTACGGTGACAGGAGTACATCACCACCGAACAAGTTTCCTTAAGTGCATCACTTTAACAGTATTTCTTAAGCCAAGCCACAACACGTTTGTGTATTAAAACCTCGGACGCAGATTGCGGATGTTCTGCGATTGTAATGCGTGTAGACTTGCGTCGTCTTGTTAGATCATTAGATCATAGAAGTGTTTTCAGGTCACGAACGCTACGCTGTGTCTCTCATTTGAGCTAATGCTAGACAGAGGTTACAAGATATCTTATACGCTGCGTTCTTCCATCTACATTTTCCTTTCACACCACTAACAAACGTGGCAGGTCGCACTCCCACATGCACACGCTGCAGTGTCCAGGGCTGATCGAGCTGGTGCGAGCATTAAAGTGGGACCGCTTGTTCGCACTACCCCGAGGGTGTGTAAACCTCTGAATTGTACGGTGGCACTCACCCGTTTTTCACAGTTTGCCATCTGTTGACGGGATTTTGACATCTGTGAACGGCATTTGCATAAGCTGTTTGTTTTACGTGTCTACGGCGGCTTCTTCGCGAGCCTAATATAGCGTTAAATCGAGGACGTGAAGTAGATGTCAGTCTGCAGTGCATCCGTTCTCACGGAAAGAAAACACGTTTTAGCTGATTTGAACTCACGAGACTGTGGATCATAAGTTAAACCTCTGACACACCGCTCTCCGCATTCGTAATGTAAGGACATCTCTTAACAGTCATGAGATGTGTCGAATTGTAATGCGATGGAATCACGGCTGCCAGGGGCTTCAAGTGTAGCGCAGTGTTATAGCTTCCATTTGGTTGGGCCACAAGGTGTCTGGGAACGCAGCCGACACGTTGTGTGTAGTGTTTTCCGTAATGAACAAGTTCTTGGATGGTGTTCATTGATTTTTGCAAGGAAATCTAGCGGTGAATTCAGCCCATGGGTGCCGGAACCGGGAATATCATCAATGCATCCCATGTAGTATGCACCTCATTGGTCTTGGACCACTTTTGGCTAGAAAGATGACTTAAGACTCAAGGCAATGCTCAAGTCTTAAAACCAGACGTTTAGGATTGTAGCTTCAATAGAGCGCATATGCTCAAGGGTATGCATATATTTTGTAGATGATCCGTCGCGACAGTTACATCCCGATGACTGTTTAATGACTAGACATAGTTCCAAATACCGCAATACCTTCTTGATTTGTTGTATAGTGTCGAGACAAGATTGTGTTGATCAGTTCTGCGGCAATGTTACCCTTACGCGATGTCTCGTGGTTCGTACATCTGTAAACAGCAGCTCTTCATGTGATTCCTTTTCCGCCTCAACCCAAGGCCCGACCAGTGTGATGATCCCCGCCATTGAACGCACGAGCGATCATTCAACACGGCTTAGAACTAAATCCGAGGCAGACCTCGGACATGTAGTTCTAACCCCACGACCGCCAGTCATGATCACGCTGTCTTTCACACGCCGTTCGTGACCAACCGGGCCTGTGCATGCTTCTGACATATCTGCAGCCGCCGATCTATTTGTCATTCAACCGACTCGTTCGAATTCTGACACCATCGAACCAAATCCCGTCCGGCAGTAGCTAAACATAACTTGCAGGGACGCCGCGCCACCAGCCGAGCATAACCGCGGTCGTACGTGCCGCAGATGTGGCGGAGCGAATGCTTGAGTCCGACAAACAGTTCGGTATTTTCTACGACGACAAAAAATGGGTGAAGAGTCTGGAGGAGTACAAGAAGCGCTACTACCTGGAGCACCCGGAGGCCCGGCCTCCTCAGGATGCGCCGCCCCGCTCCGGCTAGTAGTGCGGTGTATTGAGTATAGGCGACGCTTCTGTTTATGACAGGGGGAGAGGCAGCTGGTTTGCCACTCTATGTGACGTTCTTAGAAACATGGTCAGAGAAAATGGTGGCCAGATTGGCCGCTGTCTGTCTATTGGCGGCCTGCTTGGCCGGAGTTTGTCTGTGTGTGCGCCTGGACATGTCTATCCCACTGATGCCGATATTGAGTATCCGTGGACGGTGGAATGTCTATTCACTGTGAAAGGAAGCGTCTGAAACATCCTAGTACCGTTTGATGCGTTCGAGCTCGAGGACGGTGGAAGTAATGCCGTCACTGAATGCGTCATAGACGAAGTCACGGGTGAATCCATATCGCCCACGTGAGTGAGACTGCTAGACGGTCGCGTGTGCAGAGATCAGGGGTTTTGCGGTGTTCAGTGTTTATGTGCCCGGTGTCGCCAGACGGTAACGACCGGGCAGAAGTTGGCGATTGGCGAGGTTGATATGAAAGTGAACCAGCTTTGTGTGCCAACATTTCGAAACATCGCCAGTCCGAAAGTGCAAAGGTCAATTAGGTTACAGCAGGCAGCCCATGACGAAACCGATCCACAAAAAATAATTAATTTCGGATGTAGCGCAGGTTTTCAAACAGACACGCAAAAAGGCCACTTTCCGTGACGGCTTCGTCCATATGCTAAGGACAGTACGGCTTTCAGCATTGGGCAGTGCCGTCCAAAACGTACTGCATGCATATCGATTTGTGGTTGCACACTGATAGCTTTTCAACAGCTCAGGAACTGACAATTTGCGCCACATGAGGTCTACGTAAGCGCTGCCACCGGATAACGATGCACGAGTAATAGCGGGCGTGGATGTAGTATTGATAGTGATTCATTGGCGTACGTCAGTGCTGCTGTCACTGGTAAGACAGTAGTGATAGCCTGCTTCCTCGGAGAAAAAAGAACAGGAGAATGGGAATATAGGTGCATTGATATTTCGGAAACATGTCCTTATTGAAACGCGTAGCAGAAGCACATATCGCTTCCGCTATTCGTTTCGATGAAGGCCGAAATATCGACGCATCTAAACCTCCATTCTCCTCGGTTTTCTCCTAGGAATAAGGCCATTACTACTGCTTTATCTATGTGTATGATGCTCCTGGCGAATGCACCTAACATCTGCTGTCATTGATGCGAACAAGCGGCGTCGGAAAGGCTGGTATTAAGTCCCCGGCAGTAACTTAGAAACACGTGTTGTGTGTGTTGCCGTGGGGATGTATGGGTTCGTGGGGTCGCGGTGTGGCCCTTCGTCGTGGCTCAGAAATACATGCTGCGTGTAATGGTGACGCGTTTGGTCGGGTGTGTACGCCTGGACAGGATCGCAGGAGGCTGCAGCTGGAATGAATGGAAAATGTGTGTTGTGCAGACCGACTTCGTATATTCACCATGCAATGCGCCCACGGAAACCAGCCATCTTGCCACTCCACCAGTCGCACGTAGTTATCACGCGCATTTTCAGCCGTCGCTCGCGCAGTAGAGAGCGTGAGCGAAGCAAAATACGACGAGCCATGTTCCAGGTCGCTGTATGGATCTTCTGCTCTGTGAATTTGAAGCAATGCATCGGCTCTTGACACATTTCAGCGCCGCGGCCACTTCACAGCTCGTCTCTCCGGGCGTCTGTGTTGGCGTCCGCCGTTGTCGCCGGCTGGCCAGCGACTGGTGCGTCCTGCTCTGCCCCGTGCGCTGCCCGCTCAGAGGCGTCTCCAGGGGCTGATCTGGGCGGGGCGTCCGTCTCAGGGGCGACTCCAGCGGACACCTTCTGGGCTGTCGCCGTCTCGTTCAGCTGTAACAAATATGGGCCGTGAGAAGCGCTTGCCGGGATCCCACCGGGATGCTCTGTCCCGAATGCAGCTGACTGCCACATACGTTGGGTAACGTCTATTTCAGCGACTGTAGCTGGTTGATTGATTTCCCCCCCTCCCCCCCCCCCCCCCCCCCGATGCAAACCTTGTCGCTGAAGTTGTCGCATCACAGGCAATAGAAAAACCGCGGTGTTTAAAATATATTGTAGGTTTAACTACATGCGTGCCAGCACTGCCACGTTTAGGTTTTCTTAGGTTTCTGAAAGACACCCGTTCCTTATACTATAGGAGCTGACTTCCATAACTAACAGCCACATGCTCGATATAATAAGTCATTTGACCATTAATACATCGCGCACCACTAGTTACACCAATAAAAAGTGTTCTGGTCAGCAAATATAGATACCTTCCACATATTACTGCTCCCCACTGTTGTGTTCTTTTGCACTGTCAGGATAGGCACATCGCTAGTAGAGGAAAGAGTCAAGAACCCTTGTAGCCTTACATGATCCCCCATAACGATGGTGATAATGTTATCATTTAAGCAATTTAGACAACCGATTCATTCATCGGTTTACCTTCTCCCGCAGGCCATGGATCGGCCCGGACGTCAAGGACAGGCGACAACACTGTTAACCCATTGCTCTCGAACTTAGGCACCCACCTTGCGCAGGCTGGGGATTCCCCGCGACTTTTTACAGGCTTTCATTCTGGTGATGCAGATGTCCTTGACGGTGCCGGCGATCCTCGGCTTCTTGCCCGGCTGAAAGGCGGCCAGCAGCCCCAGGCCCAGGTCGTTCTCGAAGCGAACTGCGCACACGCGCACGTAAAGGTTTGTCGGCCGGTCAGATCCCGACTGTGTGTCGACCGGCCAGATCCCGTCTGAGTGTCCGCCGGTCAGATCCCATCTAAGTGTCCGCCGGTCAGATCCCGACTGTGTCGGCCGGTCATATCCCGACTGAGTGTCCGCCGGTCAGATCCCGACTGAGTGTCCGCCGGTCAGATCCCGACTGTGTCGGCCGGTCATATCCCGACTGAGTGTCCGCCGGTCAGATCCCGACTGAGTGTCGGCCGGTCAGATCCCGTCTGTGCGTCGTCCGGTCAGATCCTGTCTGCGGGTCGCCCGGTCAGATCCCGTCAGTGTGTCGACCGGTCAGATCCCATCTGTGTCGGCCGGTCAGATCCCGACTGTGTGTCGGCTGGTCAGATCCAGACTGTGTGTCGACTGGTCAGATCCCGACTGTGTGTCGACCGGTCAGATCCCGTCTGTGCGTCGGCTGGTCAAATCCCGACTGTATGTGGACTGGTCAGAACCCGTCTGAGTGTCCGCCGGTCAGATCCCGACTGTGTGTCGGCCGGTCAGATCTCGACTGAGTGTCGGCCGGTCAGATCTCGACTGAGTGTCGGCCGGTCAGATCTCGACTGAGTGTCGGCCGGTCAGATGCCATCTGTGCGTCGGCACAACATGTAATGCACTGGCACATAAGAGCAGCGGGTCACACGCTATATCAGTCACTCGCGACGAAAATACTGTAAAGCTTGCAAGTTTTTTGTAGCAAGGTGTGCCAATGTTTTTTATAAGGATATTTTTCCATTATTCTTGCTTTGGTGGGCCAGAATTGTCTGGCCGCTTAAAGGTATTAGGCCCCCTGGTGAAATGGTTGGCATACTGGACCGGCACGTTAGAAATCCGGGTTCGAGTCTGGTGGGTGGATCCCAATTCCCGTACTATCTGGCGAAGGACACAGCTGAACTGCAAAGTGGCCTGGAAATTTTGGCCGACCAAAGCTGGAGAAGCTAAAAACATTCCTAACAAAAACATGACACATGGCGATTAAACATGCGCATGCGTGTTGGTACGAGCCACTGTCAGTTTGGGACCAATACGTAAAGCGCAGAGATCTAGTGCCTCCGAAAACACGTTAACAACTCTGCACCGATATTTCATGTTGTTTCTTTCGACACAGCACTGGATGTTTGACAGCATGTGTGCACAGATAAACCCAGGCGAGCTCACGCCTGTCGACCCGACAGTTGCCCGCAATTATTGCCTCGGACGTTATGTTCTGTTAAAAGAGAACATGGCGCACGTCGCCACGTCGCTTTCATGGATCGCCAGCGACCAGGAGCTCAGGCGCCACGGCGGAGTCCAACGCGCGACCCACTCGGCCAATACCGCCCTCGGACGTCAGTTGACCTATCAGTTGCCTTCACCTGCCTGATGCCAGCCTGAGCACCACGACGTACCAGCTATCCACAGCATGAGATCGCCTCCGAGGGCGGACGTACCGATGGGGCCACCTCCGAGGGCGGACGTACCGATGGGGCCGCCTCTGAGGGCGGACGTACCGATGGGGCCACCTCCGAGGGCAGACGTACCGATGGGGCCGCCTCCGAGGGCAGACGTACCGATGAGGTCGCCTCCGAGGGCGGACGTACCGATGAGATCGCGGCAGCTGGCCTCCAGTAGATCGGCGGGGAAGGCGTACCGGCCGAGCAGAGAGGCGGAGCAGACACGCTGCAATGCTCCGTCTATCCGCTGCTCCAGGCTGTCGGCTGCGCTCTCCTTCACCAGCCGGTACATCTCTGGAGCGGCAGACACACGGCGAGGGAGGGGGGGGGGACGTTATGTGGTGACAGGTGGACGGCGCGGTTATTGGGCGACTGAGTCTTCCGGGCTGTTTAGTACGCGGTTTGGCGCAATGCACGCTCAGACAAGACGTATTTAGGTGTTCAGGAGCGACAGTCATGAAATTGAGTTCGCCGTCGCCCTCTTCAGCTCTATTCAACATATCGACATTTGCGAAAAGATCACAAAACCACGAAACAAACGCATGTACGAATGCATCTTCCGCCCAGGAACTCGCGGCATGAATGAGAACACCGCTTCTCGAACTAACCCGCACAACGTTAGGAATGTCTGCTGTTCGTGTCCTGCTCCCTGGCAGAGGCAGATCTGAACCATAAGACTCCGCCGGCGCGCCGCCACCAGCCAGCGCCGACTCACCGCAGACGGTGGCGTAGCAGGTCTCGCAGAAGAGGTCACGATCCTTCAGCGACTCCGGGAGGGGACGCTTCTCCGCCGCCGCGGGCCGGGGCAGCAGACAGCAGGACAGCATCAGGGCGACCCCTGCCACCCACAACGGGTCGGGCCTCATCCCCTGGCTAGAGATCACAAAGCTCCGAGGGCCGATCTAGACCACAGGTGCGGTGCCGCTCCGCAGAGCTGGAGACTCGGCAGAGACGTGGTTCAGTTTTCGTGGTCTGTTGCTTTGTTGTGCTGCATAAGAGGGTGTGGGGGGGGGGGGGGCCTTCCACTTTTGTGTTCACCTCGGCAGCTGTCTTGCTAAGCTTCAGGTTCCGTGCCCTCAAGGCTCATGTAAGAATGAGCAGGACGCCAGCGGGCGGCGGCAGCAGGGCGTTGTTCCCGGTCAGGCCGGCCTGGCCTGCGCCCCTCGCTCCGGCGGACGCGGTCCACACCACGAGAGGCCGACCGCCCGGCTGGTCGTGGCTGCGAGGAACCTCCGAAGGGTCCGTTGCCACAGCGTCACACTGACAGGCCGCTGACTGTATACGCCTGCGGAGCTGCCACGCCACCGCCGGGCCGACGCCTCACCACCGGCCTTATCGTGCGACCGCGTACCCGATAACGCCGACACACCGGCCCCATAGGGTGAGCAGGTGATGACGTCACACGACACACCGACCGGATAGGGTGAGCAGGTGATGACGTCATACGATATACCGGCCGGATAGTGTGAGCAGGTGATGCCATCATTCGACGCATCGGCCGGATAGGGAACAGGTGATGACGTCATGCGACGCACCGGCCCAATAGGGTGGGCTGGTGATGACGTCATAGGACACACCGACCCGATAGGGTGAGCAGGTAATGACGTTATATGACACACCGGCCGGATAGGGTGAGCTGGTGATGACATCCTTCGACGCATCGACCGGATAGGGTGAACAGGTGATGACGTCATACGACGCACCGGTCCATCGGGGTGAGCTGGTGATGACGTCATACGACACACCGGCCGGACGGGGCGAGATGACGTCACACGCGGGCAAACTAGGTGGGCGTGTTTGCGTGGCAGCGTTCACCCGGAAGCCTTTGATTGAAGTGTTAACACGCGCTCGGATGGGGATGGAGGTCAAATAGACCTTCCCGAAGGTTTTTCCAGAATGGCTTCTCGACGGCGCGGCGTAGCCGCGCCAAATTTTGCATAGCTGTAGACCATTGAAGAGCGGATCGTCTGGCATCAAAAATTTAGGTGCACCCTGTAATGTTGCTGACCTATGGCAGGTCAAAGTCAGGTCATGGTTTCAGCGAAGGCAATTTCTAGGGAACCGTTCAATCTGATGCAACAACGGAGTGTTTGACATACATACATCTCTGAGATGTTTTCTTCTTAGAGGTCAGAATAGGCCATTTACCCGAGATGACCCAGGTCGACATTTTTTTGGGGAACATACCG